TGGCAAGTTGTCATAACGGAAAGAATATTGAAGTTGGAACTGGTTTTTCGAATTATTATTAATTATAATTTTGTTGTATACTTACTAAGTAACTAGATTACTTTATGTAGCTATTCCTTTTATCGTAAGTTTTGGGTTAACTTATCAACTACAGTCTTACGATTTACTGTTCCTAATATTTTGCCAGTCGATTAACTTCAATCTTACTCATTTACAGCCATTAATAGTTTGTTTATGCATAATTGTTATTTCACATTTTATGGTTTGGTGCGATCTAGTATGCCTGTACTTAAATCGCATCTGTTTGAAATATAAATATTGTAGATGATAGTTGCTACTTCTGAACTTAAATGCTAAGGATAGAGAGGAGCTTGAAAATAACGGACCATTTGGGGCTTACCTGCCAGGTCAAGGTCAATATTGCTTGTTAAGCATGTAACTGATCCACTTGGGGACACTAGACTGATTGGTGATTTGGGAATTGAAATCGGTCAGTGGTCCCAAGACGTAACACAAGTTCATTGGAAAGGCTGATAAAAATGTTTTCTGCAGAGTTTTTATGAACATGATCTTAGAAACTTATGTCTAAAAAGTTAACAAAATATTTACAAGTAGACAGTCAACATATGTTAAGTATATTTATGGAATTCAAAATAATCAAATGACAACATAGACTACTTTCCTTCTGCTTTGCAGACACCTATGCCATCAAATGATTTTGCTCTATGCATATAGAAGTAAAGCGTTGGTTGACCAGATTTAAGGTGGACAAGATAATTCTTCACAAGAAAAACGTTTACAATCTACCTCCGAACTGGTCATAATTAAATAGTCTTCGAAAAACCAGGAATTACTGAACAGTTACTTCATCCTAGTGTCATACACTTTACCAGTGCTCATCCATGACTCCATCAGATATGTAACCTATAAATTTCAGGTCTCACTGTGAATACCTAACTCACACTGATATTCATTACATAATATAAATTTTCTTAGCATTCTACTAACGCTCATCCAGTAAGTTAACTTTGATTATTTTTTTGTCAATTGATTATAAAATCATTCATTCTCTTTATTCATCACTGAAACATCATCTCCTCACTGCTTAGTGTAACAGAAAATTTCAAGAAATACAAATCTATCACATACAATCTCATCTCATGTGTTCCTAGTTCCATCGTGAAGCTAGACCACCAAGAGAAACCTGTAAGCACTGGATGACCGTTTTGTCTTATTGTGAGACTCCTCAGCAGTGCGCATCCACGATCTCGCCTCGCGAAATTCGAACCCAGAACCTACCAGTCTCGCGACAGATCACTATACCTATAGACCACTAAGCTAGCCGGCATCCGATGGTGTTAATGTCTAACTTCAACCAATCCGCGAATTTGAGCAACCATTCATCAGATGTTTTCATTGAGTTCCTATCTCACAACAGACTTGGTTAAACTCCACTGGTTCTCACTAGAACTATAGGAAATATCTCTTGAAGTCAATCACTAGTGAGTATGTGATTATAATCAGAAGGGGTTTTGTGGAGATTTCAGTATTTTCATAGTTGAAAGCATGAGTACTTTCAAGTTTCCCATGATGTAACTCCATTCTCATTGAAACTGATAGGAAATATCAAAATAAAATGATAAATTCATTTTATCTTATTTACTTCGTTTTTCTTCCCATGTAATAATCTTACTAATATAAACAACTTCTCCCTTTTTGTTCAATATTCAATCATAATTCAAAAAAACTACTATCTAGTTCAATGTTTTCAATACGAAAATTATTTCTATTCAGAGGGTCAATGTTTATTTTATTATTTTTTTCACAATATATCACCCTAATTTTTGGATAAATAAAATAATATGAATTGGATGGAACGAGAAAAAGAATATAACAATAGAATATTGTTTTGCAATATATCATGAATGATTGGTTAGTTTACTAAAATCTTCACAAAAACTACTAGTGATATTATTCAACATATGCTTACATTGACTGTCTTCAAGAGGTTTTAGTGTGAAGCAGTGACCAGTGGAGTTCAACCAGGTCTGTTGTGAGATGGTGACTCACTGAAGACAATAGTGGATGTGTCACTCAATTTCATGAATTGGTTGACGTTAGACATTAACACCGTAGAACTCCGACTAAGTGGTCTAGATGTTAACCCTTCGTGAGCGGGACCGAAGCTCCTGGGTTCGAGTCCCCTTAGTGTGGGATCGTGGATGCGCACTGATGAGGAGTTTCGAAATAGGACGAAACAGCGGTCAAGTGCTTCCAGGTTTTTCATTATGGTCTAGCTTCAATTGACTCATGAATTCAATTATAAAGTGTAAGGAAAAATTTTCCCTTCTACTATATTCTTAAAATTTAATTCTACTAGCCTCATTATGTATATTGTTTTTTAGTGGTTGTTTACTTTACATTATAACTTTTATTATTTCATTTTTGACTATGTAGAATAAGGTGCACATACACATAATTACAACATATACATATATTAGCATATTAACATATATAAATATTTTACAGTTAAATTCTTGAGTCAGTTGAAACCAGACCATCATGGAAAACATGGAAATACTGGACGACCATTTCGTCCTAATATGGGACTCCTCAGCAGTGCTTATCCACGATCCCTCCTAGCGAGATTCCAACTTCAGGCATATCAGTCTCGTGAGCAAGCATTTAACATGTAGACCACTGAGTGGGCATGCAATGATGTTAATGTTTAACTTCAACTAATTCACAAAATTGAACGACACATCCACCATTGTCTTTAATGAGCTACTATCTCACAATAGACCTGGTTAAACTCCACTGGTCATGGCTTCTCACTAGAAGTCCAAGAAAAAACCTCTTTGAGTCGGTCACTAGTGAGTATATTATTATTATCAGAAGGGGTTTTGTGGAGATTTTATAGTAATTTTAGTAATTTTATAATTGAATTCATGAATCAATTGAAGCGCGCAAGACTGATAGATCTTGGTTTGGAATCTCGTTAGGTGGGATTGTGGATGCGCACAGTTGAGGAGTTTCAGAATAGGACGAAACGGCCTTCCAATGCTTCTAGGTTTTTCATGATGGTCTAGCTTTAGTTTACTCATAAATTCAACTATAAAATTACCAAAATCTCCACAAAACCCCTTCTGATATACGTATATTTATTGTTTTCTAAACTACTTAACTAAATATTCCCTACAACACTGAAACTAAGCAAAATAGTGGAGAAGATTTGTAGCTCAGGTGGGTGATTTTTATGTTGGTTTGTTCTCTGAGCTGGATGGTTTGGTCGTGGAGCTTTCATCGTCCTTCTGAACGACATCATCAGCACAGACTTCTACCCGAAGTTTGTGCTGATGATGTCGTTCAGAAGGACGATGAAAGCTCCACGACCAAACCATCCAGCTCAGAGAACAAACCAACATAAAAAAAAACTAAGCAAAATACTATTTTAAACTGACTCAGTGGCCGAGTGGATAACGCGATGGCGTTTGAAGCGAGGGTACTGGGTTCGAGTCACAGAGTGAACATCAACTCTGAGATGCAGGTACGTCCAGCTGACGAGTCCCAAATAGGACGAAACGCGCGTCCTGGATTCCACTGCTAGCCACTATCCATCTCCGCTTACCATGCTTGTGAATTAAGGTATATCGAGGCAATACGCACAGTATGCACATATGCCAATTAGAGACTGACCAGTTGCAGTCCTAAACACATCGATGGGAAGATCCAAACAAACAATACTAAGTGAATTAAGAGAATGTATATTGTTCATTTAACAAAAAAGTCGACTTGATTTTGGCATTACCTGGTAACAAATATTGTTTGTTTGCTTTTTTCAAAAAAATCTTTATTTTATTTTTCTTTTTGTATGTGTATTCACGGTTTGTTTGTTTGTTATTTATGTTCAAAATATTTGTTTAGTTTCTTGGTGTATTTATGACTTTATATCATGATTCATGAACAACACATGAATACATGATGATGATGATGATATAATCATCAAAGCCTTTGAACAATTTAGTACCCATCTGAGCTTCATAACTCATTGGATAACCGGTTGAGGTTTTAAATTGAAAAGTACTGGATTGATGTGTTAATTTTGATGTCAGCATACTGCTTTGGTGAACAAGAACATAAGTGGGAACAATAGAATGAATTTTATTACAAAATTACAGAATCCATTAGTAAAATCTGAGAATCATACAGTGAATACTTCATTTGCAAAATGTCAATCAATCGTCTTCGACATTATTGTTATTCCGTTTACACATCAATCATTCTTTGTTCTCGTTCTCTTACTTTTTTGATCCTCTTAACTCTGTGCCGCCAGACATTTCACTTTCTATTGATGATACATGTACTTTATATCTGTCGACATCATTGGCAGAGACCACAAAACTTAAACATATGGGTGAATATAAATGAAACTGTGGTGGATGGTTTCATACCTTTTTCACAGTTATCTCTTCGATAAATTGTATCATATTTCCGAACTAAAATGTATTAGCATATTATGCGATGAACATGGAAAAATAAATTCTTTAAAACAAATTCAAAAACATGAAACTTTATTTCATAACATTTACACTGCTCCTTCATAGATTTAAATAAACCATGTTATCATTATCATGGTGAAGTGACTATATATTTATATTGTTACCATAGATTATTTTAGAATAGATGGATTGTGGTTAGTGGTAGAATTCATTACTCTTGTTTCGTCAAATTCAAGACTCATCAGCCGAAATGAACTTCATTCTAGTATTGATTTTAATACAAGGACTAGAACCTAACATCTTTTGGTTTAAACAACCAATGTCTAGCTGATGTAACCTAAGTAAGGCGAGATATACATCCTGGATACAACTACTAGTCACAATTTATTTACATCTATGTTAATAATATTTTCACATGAAACTGTCATCTTATTTCGCCAAAGATCTAAATATAGTAATAAAACTCATCTTTAATTTGTTTTTCATCTGTATACACTTTAGATCTTATATGAAGTTGTTTCACATTCTACAATCTGTTTAATGACACATGAAAGACAACAAACTTTATGCCTCATTGAAATGTTCTTACGGGATGTTACTGAACAAGAAAAAGAAAATAAACAATCTGTTGTACATTTGCAAGAATTTTCGTCAAAAGATTGGGCATTTGATAAAGTATGTTATGTATATATATAAATATTCTTATTTTACATTGACCCGTGATAAAAACATATCTTAGGCTTCTAATTATTACTAATATGCAGAGTTTGTCAAAAGTTTTGAATTTGATTGTTTGGACATTGAAGTGACTTAAATTAGACAACCAATGAAATTCGGAAATGACTGGATAACTGATTTCTCCTGGTGTTGAACTCCTCAGCTGTATGCATCAGCGATACCGATGGGGATCGTACTTAGGATCTTTGGTCTCAAGATGTTCTAGTAATGATTTGTGATTAGTGGAGTTCAACCATGTCGATTGTGAGACAGCTACTTATTGCATGCAATGTGAGATGATTGCACAGTATCGAGAATTAATTAAAGTACATGCGAATCATTAGATGTCTGCTCAGTAGCCTTGGTGTTAATCAAAATTTGAAGGTTTTGAACTCGATCTCTGGTGGTATAGATGGTGCTCACTGTTGAGGGATTCAAAACCAGAGAAAAAATATTTATCCAACTCTTCTTGACTTTCCATTGACTATCGAACGAATATAAATATAAATATAAATATATATATATATATATATATATATATATATATATATATTGTATTTTGTGTTTACTTGATACTAGTGCTCCTGAAACTTATGCTGAAAATGGTGTGTTACTAATAAGATTTTGAGTAGTAAAGCAATGTTGCTACAATTTTGTGGAAATAAATAGTATTTAAGCAACGAACATTTTTATAGAATCTGTCAGCTGACGTCTGATAATAATCGTCAAGAGAAGTAGAAAACAACCAACAGATTATGATTTATTTTATTATTGGCTAGTAATAGAAAACCTATGATGGAATCTTTTTTTATATGCAATGAATATCATTCAGTTATTGATGGCTGGATCTCGGCTTTCATTCGAGCGTCCTATGCTCCTCGACAAGGGGTAACAGGCGTAAGTAAGTAAGTAAATAAGTAATTGATGGCTGGAATAGTGAAAGAATACACTTACCAGTAAGCTTTGATGATCGTATCATGAAGGATGATTTGTTACAGAAGGGGATGACAAATGAGTAACGACAAATTGAAAATCTGAAAGAAACACAAAATTAGATCAACTTACGTGATTTTCCACCATTATTAAATGACCGACCACTAAATTCAAGCATCCAGATTTCTTCAATTAGATTATTCTTATTTCACTACGTGGCTATAGCCAAAAAATTGTTAATTTCATAAATATCAACCATATATTGGTACGATCAGCTAGATTTTTCTCCTAAAATAGCCATATTCTGCTAAAAACCATGATTTAAGAAGAACATTTCTGAACACACTCTGTGCTTGGATTCTACACTAATAAATCATTTACTTCCCTACACGTTATAACTTGACGAAGTGTTAATACTGTCGCTTTGTTATGACTATGGTAAAAAAATTTATTTGGTATTTATTCAGTGGAACAAGACTGATGTGTCTTGTTGTAAAATAGAACGTAAGATTATAACTAATGATTTCTTTATGCACCGAACACTGATTTCACCACTGATATAAATAACAACAGTGTACAGTGAAATGTATATCATTTTCAACGTCTGGACAGTAAACAACTTCGAATGTATTAAGCTATCGGTAGGTAACATTGTGTGATCGATAATATAATTTATGTGTATATGTTGAAGACGTTAGATCCCCAGAACTCACATGGTAAAGGTCCTAATTTTGTAATTTTATTCTCAACATTTGAATTTTATGTTTTCGCACCAAAAGACGCTTGATCGGCCTACAGCTTACATTTCCCACTCGGAAATCGTTGACTGTCATTAATTGACGGATTTTTTTTAGTATTCTATTTTGTGACTCTCCCAAGGGCGTTTATATCATTGTATAAATAAACTTGATTTGTGTGCGTGGTGACCCCATATTTTATGGGTGCTTGTAGAATACATTCTCTACGCCTAATCAAGACTTCTTGATCTGGTTAGTAGGGCCGGGGATAACGGATTAGAATAGCCTATCGTACTACTGTGTCTTTGACCTTCGTTCCGTTTACTGAGTAGAGTGAACTCGTAACAGCATCAAGTATATTATTTGGCAACGGGGGTTTTGGAAACATGGATTCTTCTAAACTCGAATTCTCACTTGAGCGGCAGCTGAAACTAATGCAGTCTAGCATATCTAATGAAACCACAGCTCCATCAGTAGACGGCATCGGAAATAGCATTGCTGAGTTTCATTATTATCTTGATAGCAACGTTACTTTTGACACGTAGTTTCAGCGTTATGAAGACCTATTTAAATTTGATTTTGCTAATCAAGATGATGCTTGGAAGGTTCAGCTGCTACTTCGAAAGTTGGGTGCAAGTGAACTGGACAGGTATTGTAATTCGATCCTGCCTTCGAACCTACGTGATAGCTCTTTTTCAAACACAGTCCAGACATAAGGCCAAAATTTCGGCTACAGCTCATTATTGTTTAATACTCGTTATCAATGTTTGAAGCTAATTATGAACGAAGACGATGACTTTCTAAATCATTTGAGCAGCGTAAACCGTGAATGCGGACGCTTCCGGTTGAAGTCTTTGCCTAAAGACCGGTTTAAAGCCCTCATCCTCATTTGCAGCCTCCAGTCCCAAAGGTTCGGTGATGTAGGAACACGGCCACAGTTTCGATTGGATCAAGATCCTAAACTAATTCTTAGTGGCATGGCCAATGAATACCAAAGCCTCATTAAACTGTAGCGAGACACAACTATGATTCAGAGTGGTGAGTCTAGTCGATCTGAAGTACGAGTAATCAAACAGACACCTAACCAGAATAAATGTGCCTCTGCTACATCCAGTCCATTCCACTTCAACTCAGTCCCGGAGAATTAAACGAATCTCCCTGCTCCTTGTTAGCACTATGGTGCATGGCACTATGTATGAAACTGCCCATTTAGGCAATATCGATGCAGAAAGTATAAGGTCGTTGGTCATAGAGAGGGGTCTAGTCTTCAGAGGGATCTAAACCGATCCAGCAGTACCAAAAAGACTGTTCCTAAATCCTGTACAACTTCACTGAACCTAGTATCTTCTTGTCAAAGCTCATCCCCAGGTGAAAGGAAATTCATCGGCCGTGCACTGACACTACGGATCATCGCTGAAAAACCAATTGAGTGAAACTCGTCACTATACATCAACTTCATCGATTATGAGAAGACATGAAACGATGTGGACAGGAGAGCACTTTAGAATCTTCTTCGACACTATGGAGTACCTGAGGAAATCGTCAACATCATGTGGAATTTAAACGACGGACTACAGTGCAAAGCGGTGCATGGAGGACAGCTGACAGATGCATTCCAAGTAATGACCGGAGTCAGACAAGGCAACACTTCCCTAATTTCTCTTTCTTCTAGTGGTTAACTGGATTATGAAGACCTCGATGTATGAGGGGGAGCATAGAATAAAATGGACAGACTGGATGCAACTGAACGGCTTAGATTTCGCAGATGATCTAGCTCTTCTATCCCATACACACGAACAAATGCAGATGAAGACAACAAGTGTAGCAGCAGCTTCTGCATTATTAGGCCTCAGTACACATGAATAAAAAATCAAGATTCTCAAATACAACACGGAGAACAGCAAGCCAATTACAATTGATGGAGAAACTTTGGAAGATATGGAAACATTCACGTACCTGGGAAGTATCATTGATAAACAAGTAGTATCGGATGCAGATGTGAAGGCGAGGATTAGCAAGGCATGGACAGCATTCTTACAGTTGAAGAACATATGGAATTCAAAACAACTGCCAACCAATATGAAAATCAGAATCTTCAATACGAACGTCAAGTCAGTTAGTTCTATTGTACGGAGCTGAAACGTAAAGAACTACCACAACCATCATCAAAAATATACAAGCATTGATGAACAAATGTCTATGTGAAATGCTGAACACCATCAGCAGCAGCCTACTGTCGGACAGAACAAATGAACTTCGGGCTGAGGAGCAAATTAGGAAAATATGTTGGAAGTGGATAGAACATACATTAAGGAAATCATCAAATAGCATTACGAGGCAAGCGCTAACTTGGAATCCTGAATAGAAGAGGAAAAAAGGAAAAGCAAGGAACACATTGCGTCGAGAATCAGAGTAAGATATCGAGGCAACGAATAGCAACTGTGTTGGGGATGTCAAATCCCCAGAACTTACTTGGTAAATGGCTTAATCTTGTAGTTTTATTTTGAAAATTTGAATTTAGCTGTTTTCGCGCCAAAAGCGCTCTTTTTACCTTCACGTCATATTTCCCACCTGTAAACTATCTTAAACGCTATTGGTCCATTGTTTCTTTGTGTGTGCTATTTACCAATGATGCTCAAGGACAAATTGTTGTTGTATAAATGCGCTTGACTTTTTCCATTATTCGATTGCTTGTACTCTGCTGCTTACGGAATATATATATTCCCCTACTTGCCTTGAACTTCTTCATCTAGTTAGCGGGGCCTGGGACAACCGATTAGAATAGCTTATCGTGTCATTGAGTCATTGGCTTTCGTTCGTTACCGCGGAATCGATTTAGTTTCAAGCATAACAAACTGGAAAGGACTTTCCAGCACAGAGTTCGATGGAGAATCCTGATGAGTGGTACACGCTCCTCCACGTGGAGTAACATGTGCAAATAAATACAGAACATAGAATTAACAATTTCTAAATCATATTTTGTTTCAACAAAAATGGCTTCATCTAAATAATCATTAATTTCTTTTAAACCTCTTCATTTATTAAGGTATTTTACGGGACTAATTACTTTCCTAAACAAATATGTTCAATGAACGACCAACATGACTTATATGACTTATACAATCATCAATGTCAAGTTGAATTCATACATAATTCAAAAGATATAACTGATCAACAAAATTCCACCATTTCTAACTCATTTCAATCAAAAATTGAATTGAAACATGTAAACAAAGTGAAAAACACTTCTAATGCTGAAGGTGATAATGATGATAATGATAATGATGATGATGATGATGATGATGATGATGCACATAGTCATAACAACAACAACAACAATGACACTCATGAAAATAACAATGATCATACACCATTCATAGATGAATCACAAACTGAATTGAAATGTTACCATAACAATGATCACCTTGAGAAATCTACTGAAAGTAATAACCACTTACAGAAAACTGTTGAAGATTCAACTTATAGAAAGATACCAATGAATGACATTGAAACTTTACAAAATATTCCCCGAATTCACAATAAAATTACCTATTCAAATGAGGAACTATTATGTAGAAATAATAGTACATTTTGTAATCATCATTTTCATTTCCAACTTTGTCATAATCATCATCATCATCATTATCAACATAATCCACATCATTATCATCATCATCATCATCATTCTCAACAATTTAATAATGAATTATATTATGTACCACAAATTGTTACCTATTTTCCTGCCAATGAATATTTACTATCATTATCTACAAATAAAAATCAATCATTTTATTCAATTCCACAAAGTATCATTCCTGATCATATTAATAATGATACTACTTATAATACTACTACTACTACTACTACTACAAATATTCTATACAATAAACTTCCACATTATCATGCAAAAATACTTTTACCACAAGATAATAGTATAGAAGCAACAAATAATGGTGATATAAGATATTATGTCGGTATACCATGTTGTTATCCAACGAATACAATCTGTTCAAAATATTCTTCATATAATAATAATACTAATACTACTACTACTAATAATAATAATAATGTTAGTAATAATACTAATAATGATAATACTATAGAAACAAGAGATGATCTATTAACTTATTGTGGTGAACCATTTATTTATTATACACCAGATCAAAATTATTATATTTATTCAACACCAACACCAACAATCACTTCATCTATACAAGAAAATATTTCTATTTTATAAATTTTATTTAATATTTAATTTTTTTTCCTTTAAAAAAAATTTTTTTTACATTCCTTATTTGATTGATTTATGCATTAAATTTATATTTAAATTTTATTGTTTCTATATGGATTTATTTGTAAACAAAACTTATATGAATCACTAAGAGAAAGAGATAGGGGAGAGAAGGGGAAAAGGGGGGGGGCGTAGAGAGAGGGGGGTAGAGAGATAAACATTAGGGCAGCAGTATTTAAAATTTACATTTTTACAAAAGTAATTTGTTTTTATTTTAAACATTTTTGCATATACCATAAATGATACTGAAAAAAAAGAAAGAAAAAAAAAAGAGAATGATTCAAATACTCATTATATTTTATAAATTGAACTATAATTTTTGTCCATTCAACATAATTTTTTTGTGATTGTCCTCTATTTGTTTATTTGATTTGATTTCTTTGTTTTTTTATATACCTGAAATTATTTTATTGTATCTGTGTTAATATTCTTTTTCTTTTTTTTTTCGAAATTCCATGGAGACATGTCTTTGTCGTTGTGTTGTGTTGCATTTGTTGTTATTTCTTGTGGTTATACAAAAAAAAAAAGAAAAAAGAATAGAGAGTTGTTATGTTGTGTCCTTTAAATGTAACTAATAAATGTGTAATTCCATATCAGACTGTATGTTTTTTGTTGTTGTAAGATCAAGTGATAGAAAATAATCATTAAAGATCATTGATGATCAAGATTTTGTATTGATTATCATTTTCATGTTTTCAAATAAAAAATCTTTTGATCTACTGTAATGGAGCAGATTCGTTGACATTCACGTGAGAGAGAGAGAGAAGACAAAGACAGCTGGAACACTAATCACTTTATTCCAACCCCGATCTAACGCTCGATACCCAATTCAGATTAGGGGGAAAAGTTACATGAATAAATAGATGAATAGGCTGACCACAACGTACAATAATAAAAAAAAATAGTTGAAAGCGTGAGTCAACTGAAGCTAGACTACCATGGAAAACCTGGAAACACTGGACGGCCGTTTCGTCCTATTATGGGACTCCTCAGCAGTGCGCATCCACGAACCCACTCTCGCGAGATTTGAACCCACGACCTACCAGTCTCGAGCCGAAGCCATTAACCGATAGACCACTGAGCTGGCATCCAACGGTGTTAATGTCTAACTTCAACTGATCCACGAAGTTGAGCGACCATTCACCAATTGTCTTCAGTGAGTTCCTATCTCACAACAGACGTAGTTTTAAACTCCACTGGTGAGAAGCAGTGACCAGTATTATTTTCGATTCCTGGTTTCGTCGTTTTGAAGACACATTTCGTGTTAAATGCTCAAATCTTGATGACGCAGCCAAAGTTCGCCTACTCTTGAGAAGACTCGGAACACTTGAATATAACAAATATGTGAATTTCATTTTGCAACAAAATCCACGAGATTTATCATTCAATGAGACAGTTCAAACTTTATCTAAAATTTTTGGTGAACAATCCTCATTATTCAGCATCCGTTATCACTTTATTTTTCTAAATTCAAAGCTGTCAACTTTGGCCCGAGACATGTAGAGCACTTAAATACCCCTTTGGAATCCCATGATGCTTGTACTATCGGAGATTATTTGATAATAGCGATATCAAAAGTCATTTTTCTTGATGTACAGTTTTCCTCTGGTCTCTCTTGATCCTCTCATGTTCTATTGTTGTCGAAGAAAGTTTTCAGTCTGACTTATTATATGGAGAGGCTGCACGCTTTTCACATTACTCGACATTTACTTTTAGGATTTGTTAATTCTCCCATATTACCCACTATTGTTTACTGTTCACCATTGTTTTGGTGGTTTGCAGAGAGTGATGAAAACAGTTATCAGGATGCGGTGAATCTTCTGAGGTTATTGTTAATATGGTTGTCGGTAAGCATCTTAAATCGTGAAAACTCCTGGCAGGTGTTGTCTATTCACATTCTAACCACCTACAAAATTCATTTCTTCCACCTTGTGTATCTTCTAGTAAAACGATGTGGGAATACATTAGAATCTATACACGCAAGCAAACATGTAAAAGCCCAATAATACCTTATCTGGCAAGTATAATATGTGACAAATAGGTTGTTAGAGCTGACCTAGTCAATGGCTTGTATTCTTAAATGTTTTTCTAACTAAAGGTTGTACAGCTTTTTACCTTTTTTAGATTCGTGTATATACGTATGCAGTTAGCGGCTTTTCGTTTTGTAAAATAAACTTGTTGAAATACTTAGGTGCTGTAAATTCATTACTGTATTGAACAAATAACATTGACTAAAGTCATTAATAATAATACCTACCTTCAGATACACTATTTTGGGAATTCTCAGTCAGAAAATTAATTTGAATACTTCTAATTATCTTAATACGTCCAATGATCAATAATCTATTCTCATATATCATTTCTATTTGAAACATTACATTTTTCATTCTCATTACATCTATGAGAATTGCTACTCCACCATGATGATACATATCCGAATTGCTATTATAAGTCTGTACTGAAGGTTTTTGGAAGTTGATGAAAACCTAAATAAATAAAATGAATTTGTAGTGACCGGCCAGTCTCGATAAGAACACGATTGGAACAACAGAAACAATTATTATTATTGTAACCAATTGTACCAGAGATTGTTTTACTGTATTTGTTTAACTGTATCAGTTTCACTTCTTGTTTCGCTCTCCGCCTTGTTTGGTTCGAACTTGCTCATGCACTGCTCATTTCGCCTGTACTCTTTGACACGTCTCGGTATTATTTCGATACCACGAGATCGCCAATAAATATACTTGATCTGGATTAATAAAGCTTTCTGATTTACAAGCTATCAAAGGAACCAAGTCGTTATTGGGCGCGTAATTGAATTGTAGTGGTGATCATAGTCCGTCTTCGACTCGACATCAACTACAAATTCATGTTATTCTGCTCAACTCTCTGTTCGTGTTTTCCACAAGATAAAACTGATTTGCATGGAGACAGTTAGCATTTATTAGCTCTTAATCTGACTCCAGGTTAATCATGTAAATGATTGTTATTGGAATATTCATGCTGGTTATCCTCGTATATAATTATTGACTTTTTCGCGTTAGTGAATAACAGAATTAAATAAGTCAAATACGAGGATGCATTTTGAATATGTATATTTCATGCGCTCAGTGTATAGCAACTCAGATACAATTGAGTTTGTTTACATCTAATCCAGTTAAGCCCTTTTGTTAACTTATTTAATGGACAGTCATTCATACAATAACAACCCATCTATACCATTGTACTTTTATTATATACGCTTGAACATTGCTTACTTCCTACGCATATATTCATTCCGCTAGCATTATTATTAATCGCTTATTTGATCCGATGATAAATGCTTTCCCACTTATATATATATGTACATCTTAATCCTGTTTACTACACTTGCCCTGCTTGCTCTCTGCTCTGCTCTGTATTACGCTACACCGTACTGTACACGCTTACTCATTCATCCGGCTCTACGGCACTGCTTTTTCATGCTTGTTTGACGTACCTGTAATATTGGATAACTGTGTGGTTCAGTAATAAACGCGATCGACTCTTCGTATTCGTCTTCTGATTTATACATCGTTAGGACGTTTTCGAGTAACGGTTATCAAGACGAACAATATACGAAGCTTAGGGATAGTACCGAATATCGACCACCACAGAATTGGATGCCTCGCCGAGCGATCACAAAACAAATTTCGACGATATAATCTAATCCCGAAAATTCAAAGCGCTGCGTCTCAAATCGGATTATTATTTGTATCATAATCATAATTGTGGATCTATTAGATCCTAACTCACAAACATTGATCTTAACGATTATATTCATACTAAATAACGATCATTCACATACAATTGATATATTGGTGCAATTTAGTAAGTCTGTTCCATTTTATAAATTGTACCATTTATTATTATCATTGTTTCTGTCCGTCTATTTTACTTTGTGACATCTATATCATATTTGTGTACTACTCAAATTTTTTTGTAAGCATGTCTTCTGAAAACACTATGTCAAGTGTACAGCAAACTTCGTCCGTGTAAACTCTTAACCTTCCAGTCCCCTCTTTTAAGGTCACCGACCCTCAACTGTGGTTCGTTAGACTTGAAAACTATTTTCTGGCTAGTCGTATTAACTTACAAAGAGATAAATTCGGCTTCACAAACACTCTCCTCCCAGACGAAGTAGCAGAAAGCGTACGAGAGGCGTTATCTAAACCGGATACTGAAAGGCCATAGGATGTACTAAAGCAGGCAGTAATTAAAGCAGTCGCACTAAGTGACCAACAAGCTGTTGAGCAGCTTCTCAACCAGGTACAAATGGGGAATAGAACTCCATCACAGTTAAAAACTCATATGTAAAGTCTACTAGGTGATAGAAAAATAGACAATAACTTATTTTATTAACTGTGGCTTCGCCGACTCCCGTCCAGTATTCAGCAAATCTTAGCTGTTGGAGATACTGACGCTGACATAGATAACATAGCGAAAATAGCTGATAGAATATACGAAAGAGCAAAGCAAGCAAGCCCTCAATCACACAGCGTGACAGTAGACTATAGAATCAGTACTCTGCAGAGGGATATAGATGTTTTATGCCGCAAACTCACAGAGTTGACTCAGAGCGAGAGACCACGAAAATTATCACGAGTTGGCACGCGAGAGGGAAGCCGATCAGCTTACAGAAGACGCGCAACTCCGCTGATATGTTGGTATCATCAAATGTATGGTTACAGAGCAAGAAAATGCTTACAACCTTGTAGATTTAGAACGGTAAGTAAGCGGTACCCTCGGTTGTCCATGGCAACGCCTGCTGCGAACACAAAGCCCTCAAACAGCCGCCTTTTTTATATGCAAGACTGAATGGCAGGCACTCAATTCTTGGTGGACACGGGGGCTGAAATTAGCGTAGTACCCCCAGTATGTGACGACAAAAGAAACCTTAACACTTCATTGATTCTAAAAGGGGCGAATAAATCAGATATTAAAACATATGGCAAACGAATGTTGTCCTTAAATTTCGGACGAGGCGCGACATACCGCTGGGATTTTGTCATAGCAGACGTATCGGTACCTATAATAGGCATCGATTTCTTATGCAATTTCGATTTACTAGTAGACTCACGGCGCCACAGACTCTTAAA